TATATATATATATATATATATATATATATATATATATATATGTGAATGTCTGTCTGTCATCTATGTGTAAATGTACTTGGGAAGTTTTTATGAGAAGGAAGAGAAATTGTCATTTGTCCAAAGGAAGGTTTTCCTAAGTGTTCAACTTTCTCCTTCATTTTTATTGCATGGAAATTTCGAGCGAAAACACAAATGAGCGCTAATGCATGTCACTGATACTTCCTTTAGTAGAGAAGTAGAGTGTAGTGCGACAGGTTGTGCTCCGATTGAATGCCATGCCCATCACTAGGTGTACGCGAGTAAACCGTCTTATAACCAATGACAGAGTTAGATTTTGCAATATGAAGTAAGGTCAAAATTCTAAACAGAGAGCTCATTCTTTATTGAAAACCAGTCCATGAAAGTTATCCGTTACAGTCCTTATTACTTTTTATCACTAACGATTCCCAATGCTTACAAGATCCAAAATAGTACTTACTGTCCATATCTAATTCAATTTCTTGTCATTATTTACTTTAACGTGGAAGTGATTTGAGAAATATTTTGAGACTATTATGATTTGATTATTTATTTACAAAAACGGCACCCTTTTTAAAACTGTACATTTAAATAACCCTCAATTCTTTTAACTTTTCGAAAGTTTCTTACAAGTTCCCTTTCAATATACGTTGAAGTTCCTGAACATCCTTTGATTTCTTCCTTTAATCTCCTTTGGTTTTTTAAAAAGATTCATAGTTTTCTTTTTTTTCAAAGAGCTTTTTTCAAGAGAAATAATGTATCGGCTTCCCGGAAAAAGTGTTCCAAATTTTTAGATTAAAGACTTTTGAGCTAAGATTATTTCTGAATTATGAAATTAAAATGGAACTTCGACAATGAGACGCATTTCTGTTGCAGAACAACTGTTGTCCTTGGATTCAAACTTAACCTGATATTGTCAAAATTTGCCTTCAGATAGATGTGGTCCTTATGAATGAATTTGCGTTCTTCAGTCAGAAATCTGCATTAATTACAAAAGCTATTTAATGGTTCGAGACATTTTTAAAAAGAGGATGAGTGAATAAAGTAAAGGTGCTGGGAAATTTCAGAAAATAAATACCGGATAGGTAGTCTGGTTTTGCCTTACCTGTTGATTCATTAAGCTTTCGTTTATGAATTTGAGCTTTAAGTTCCTCCTTATCTCCATCCATTTGAGGGTGCGGTCTCATCCGTCCAGTTGAATAAGGTGGATTAATTTTATTAATTCTCGAGATGATTTAAATTCGTCACATACTGGGCTTTGAAAGGAGGCAACCTCTAATCAGGTCTTCGTAAATTGAAAGGATTCATCAAGGAAATAAATTCCTTAACATATTTCATTGCGAATAGAGGATCATCTGCTCCGAGAGCCAAGGTACGCTGACATTTTCTTTCTCATCTTCCAAGGAATCGTGGTAACTCTACCTCAGCATTAGGTTATTGATGTAAACATATACTTGATCGATTAACTGGCGTAATGTTTGTTTCATAAAATCAAAAATGCGAGACAATATATAGCAGGGCAGAAAGCACAAGAGGAACAAACTGCCTCCGACAGGATAGCCTACGCACGACATCAGCACACAACACAAAAATAAACAGCCGAAAAGAAATGCTTAAGGACGTTGGTAGTTGGAGTGTAAGCAATGCAGCGCGATGACCCAACAGTTATCATCTAGCCGGCTTGTCCATACCACTTTTTTTCGTTGAAATCTCGATTGTTCGATGGTCACGTCATCGACACTTTGATGTATGTGGATATGCGCGCATACTTCTATATCTGCTAACATCAATATGTATGTAATGATATTTGCTAACATCAATATGTATGTAATGTAGTGTCGATATATGTATGTATATGTGATTGGTGCCGTCCGTGACGATAGTAGCTGTTCGAACGACGTCATCAACTAATTTCGTTGCTCCCCATGATATTGGCGATGCTTGTTGCTTCTGCCTTCTGCTTTCCAAGTTGTCGTTCTCAGCTTCGTCGAAGATCCAGTAGGTTAGCACTCCTACAGTCGCCCTGTTAATCGACCTTAATATAAACTCACTTTTTATTTAATTGGTCCTCCTCCTCCTTTATCTCAGTAGCTTTGAAGAAATTCCGACTTTTTGGAAGGAATTATTTGTGAATGCTATGCCTTTTGTCGTTTGAATAAAAACTAATTAGTTCCTCGAAGTTGTCACAAGCTAGGTTTACCTCGTTTGTTTATCAACGAAGACAACGATCACCTCACTTTACGTGTTTGAAGCTAGCAGAAGATAAAAATGTCTTGATCGTTAGCACAAATTATTTCCAGATTTCCTTTTGATGAAATACTGGTTGACTATGTTCTGTGATGTGTAATGCAATATGGTTCAACTTTGGTCACGGAAGTCAATAAAGTTCATCTAATCTCTTAGCCGACTTTTTCCATTAAAGAAATCGACAGGGTCATTTGTTTTTATTCTTTTTTATTCTCTTTCAGAAGAGGGTTAGACGATTAGCTTTTATTCTTTCTCAGGTTAACTTATTCTTGTTTACGGCACTCTTAGTTCTAATTTTATTTCTTGTATATTTATCTTGTATTAAATGGCCCATGTCTGACCCTCATTTTCTTATACTTTTATTTATTAAATCTTCGGAAAATTAGATATTGACTAAAAATTTCGTCCAACTTCACTTCATTGTACCTTCCGTGTTTGATATATGTCTTCTATTGACTCAAGAAAAAAAAAATGACCATTTTATTAATTAGGCAGCACAACTAATTAGACCATGTGGTGACCACTAGAAGTATATTAGACGGACTTTTCAGGGTTTTTATCGGTAACGAGGAAACTAATAGAGCATATTCACTAAAGCCTTTTGTCGGTGTATGTGTGTTTGTGTGTGTGTGCGTGCATGTTTGCCTACCGAAGCTTGCGTGAGTCACGTGCGTGGTCGATATGCGTATGCATGAAAGTATTTCTGGACCTCATTACGGTTACCTATCCACCTATCTATCGGATACCCCGTTATCGAGGGTAAGCCTGCGTGCCTTACGGAAGTTGCGATATGCTGGCGGTGGTTTACTTCGCAACTAAAGGGTCAGACAAAGTGTATCCACGAGGAGGATAGGTTCACTAGCCTCTCGGCATCCATTCTAGGGGAAGAATAACTCTAACTCCAAACCTTGGCATATGGAGCTCGTTTCATCCTGTAAAGTTATTCATTTAAGAGGAGGATGCTTTAACAAAACCTGCCTTCTAAAGACTTCACTATCACCGTTCTGGCTAGCTAAGCCTTAGCAGATAATCCTCAGAAGTAAAGAGTAGGCCAGTTCCCCGCGCTGTGCTCACCTAGAAAATAAAAAATTGCGCAGGTTGGAAGGATACACCTACATCCATAGCTTTTGCGACAAACCTGGGTAGAGCCACGAAATCCACCAAATCTTCGCGAAGTATATATATATATATATTGCTGAAGATGAAGAAATGGATCCGTTGCTGAAGATGAAGAAAGGCAGTGTTTTGGCTTCTTAGCAATGCAATGAGTACTGATCGATGACGCTGCCTGTGGATAATAGAGAGAAGAATCTAGAGCTGACCATGGTCAACTTTTGCCTCATATAACTCATCTTACATCAATTATGGGACTTTTCATTGTCAATTACAATTTAATACCCCATTTTGTGTTATCATGATCAGTGTTGGTCATCACTGGGTGGTTTAGCTTCAGAAGACATTTGGAGTTCTCGAAGAGAAGCTGTTAACCATCCTTCTTCCGTTCAGCTTCAGCCAGTTTTTTTCTCGTAGGTGTGTAAATGTCACCAGTAGTTATCAGGCTGTCTGCTTAAATTTACTCTTGTAAGAAATTGAGCTTGCACTAAAAATTTACCCTTATTCTCTTCCTCTCCCTTTTTCGCAGCATCTCTCTACATTAGCAGTCATTTTGAACGGCTCATCTGAAGATCTTATCCTGGCTGTGTTTTGACTTTTGAGCAGTGCAGTAAGCGAGAATCACATGATACTTTACTGCTTACTGCTATTACTCCATCATTTCTGTGTCATCTCGTATAACTTGAAGTTATCAGTCGTTTCATTTATCTCAGGTTTACTTCTGCTTTTTAGCCCAGCTTTCAATGTTGGTCGGCTTGTTAAAAGTGATAGATAGTTGGATATATTGACTGTTAGTATCAGTGTTGTGGATAATGACGATGATGACGACGACGTCTACAAGCCTATCAGCATACCACAGAGACAGACACAGACACACATTATCATCTTATCGACATGCAAAACGCGCCCTAGTATATTATATGTATTTCTATGTCCTAGGTGTGTTGTCACGACTCTTGATCTGCTCTATTAGTTCTCTAGCTTGAATGTACTTTCGAACTGCGTTATTGATAGATTCAATTTGATCTGTACGATTGATTTCCTCTATTCATCGTAATAATTTGCCTTCCTCTGTACTTTACCATATGATTGATTTGTTTTACTATTTTTCGCTCCAGTTTCTTCCGATTTCAATTTATTCCGGCGCATCATTCACTCTACACATAGGAAAGGATTCAACAGCTCACTGTATTACAACTATTAAATTCTTGTAAGTAGGTTGTTTTCCGGAAAGTGGATTAGAGCAAATCAGATAGTGGAATGTGGTAACAGGTTTATGAAGCTCCTGTATGAAATAAATTTTAGTGGAAAAAAAGAAAGCAGGGAAGAAATTTCAAAGCATAATGACTTTCTGGAAGAATGGACGTCATGTTCTAAATCATTGCACGCTTGTGTGCTCATTGTGGCAATCATCGGAACGATAAAGTGCTAGGGATATCTATCATAGATTCCTTGATTTCGTAAGAGTTCCACAGTTTTTCAAATAATGGCTCATTAATTTTCTTGCCAAGAACCAAACTACGAAATCTTTTAATCTTTCAATCTATTTTAAGGAACTTTCTGTATGGCTCATGATTTTATCTATTCCGGGCTTCTTGAATGATTTCATCTGTTGAGAAAAGAATTTGCTTGATTGCCTATTTAATATGCCTATGCCTTTTGCTGAATAAGACTGATAACCAATGGGAAACGGAGAAAAGTCCTTTCTATAATTTGTAGTTTTAAGAACATAAAAACATATTCTATCATTCTGTATTCTGTCAACATGGATAACAGCGATTCTTTATACAATTCACTTTAAACGGAGATACAATCACTTGGAATATATGAAACCATATTATCACGATGCTATTATAGAGATATAAAAAGCTTTATCTTTATTCATCTCTATTATGATTTGCCAGGTCCGCAGCAATTCACTTTTCTAAACACGGTTTTAGTAAGAATATGTCAGACTGTACTGTTGCCATAACAGAGTAGCCGTGTTCCGATCATATTTTCAGAAGCGAAATGAATTCATTACTTCCAAATTATTTACAGCTAGTAAGTGAAAGAAAAAAAAACTTCGTTATACTAAAAAATACTAAAAAAAAACTGCTAAAACACTAAAAAACTACTAAGAATACTACAATACTAAAAAACTACTAAAAATACTAAAATACTGCTGTTATACTAAAAAAACCTTGTTGAAACCTTGTTATACTTTTTAGGGTTATTTTTCCTGAAGTGCTCCACAAATGCTTATGCATCTTTCTAATTCAATAGCAGTTGTAGTAGTTATTGTTGTTGTTGTAGTAATAGTAGTTTCTTTTTATTGATGTCGCTGTACCTATAGTTTTGAATTTGTGTTGTCATAGATGAAATTCCCCTTATCATTAATTTATTTCACCCATAATCATAGTTGAATTGAAATTTTTCTTGCTGTGAAATTTTTATTAGCATTAACTGTTTCTAGAACTCTTCTTCTTCCATTTTGCTAATATATATGAGCTTGACAATGTTGTTTATTTATAACTCGCTATTCACCTATCAGTTTTTCCTGTTCTTATTCAAAAAAGACCGCATCATTTCTGCATAGGTTAATCATACCATTTCATAGCAGCACTGATAGTAATCCCTTTTGGTTATCAAGAAATCGGCTTCGAAGAAATCCGTTGCTGAATAGTGATTTCTGCGTGATCATTCACTACCTTTTCAGGCATTTTTGCTTTTAAGGCTTTAAAAATATCAGTTGAGCTTGATCACTGGTTCGTATTCAGTCACCTTCATTCAGTGAAGTTGATCATAAAATGTCTTGCGTTCGTTTCATATTAATAATACTATGAAAGGAGCTGATGTATCAACGCGAAAAGTCGAAACATGAATTATTACCCGTCAAGAAAGTTAGTATCTATTTGGATAAGTTAATCTTATGGTGAAAGAGTGAAAGGGAGTGAATATAGTTAGCAGGGCAAATGATTCAAACTGTGTAACTAAACGGACTTGGATCTCTATTGTTTGTGATTACCAGCAAAGTCTGGTGTGCCATTATCACTCATGTCATGTTTCTGATTCAAGGATATCTTATTCTAAGCTTACTATGCGGTCAGTTTGTGATAAGGATAGGATTAACAGATTTCACGACGAAGTACTACCGGATAACTCAATGGTCGATATTTCAAGGAAAGAGCTAGACGAAGTACATTCTTCATCTTCTCAACAACACTGGTTAGAATGTCGGGCTACGGGATCGCCGTTGCGAAGATGATTCTCTCATCTTCAAGAACTTGTTGTTACGAGGACTGAGGTGGTGGAAGTGAGACAAGTAACCCCGGACACCCGGACTTGAGCTGACTACTTTAGTAACATCGTGAACATCGCAGTGAAGACTCAAGTGATTTGGTAAATACGAGCATAACGATTTTACTGCTGTGCTCAGAACCTTTTGTTGTAATATATCAAAGCCTTCTTCGAAGTTGATGCCATCTGAACGCTAATAGTAGATTATGTGAAACATAGCGGGTAATAGTACAATAGCTGCTTGTAGAGCTGCTTGAAATACCAGAGATTTCAGTTTGGATAACATATTGTACTATTACCTGGTTAAATTAAGGCTAACAATCTACCAGTAGTGAGTTCGTCAGTGTTGTGAATCTTATTAGTAAGCTCATACCTGGATCATGACCTAATAGCATGATGAGAAATACATACCTTACGGGATGATAGCCGTTGTGACTTTGGCGATCGTGTTGTGCTGAATGAAAGAACATCTTTCGTATACTTTGTTTTATATTCTGTTAACATTGGAAAGTAGTACTTTTGATGATTTTGTTCACTACATTCTCTAGGTTTAGTGTTGGCCAGACATAATTTATTGTTTAGTTCTGAGAATTTTTTTGTGTCCATGTATTAGTGTGTGTGTGTGTGTGTGTGTGTGTGTGTGTGTGTGTGTGTGTGTGTGTGTGTGTGTGTGTGTGTGTGTGTGTGTGTGTGTGTGTGTGTAGTAGTA